TCTCACGAGATATTCACACCAAAAAAACCCTTTAACCCTTGGATGGCAGAGGGTTCTTTCTCATTGTGTGGCAGAGTCCAGATTTTTCTGGGGGTGGCAGCTGCGCATTTTAGTTTGACCCAAGGTTACTGAAATGTGCCCAGGTTGAGGAGGACTAAGTCCAGAAAAATCTGGGAGGCAAATTTTCTTTTGTTCCCAAGATTTTCCCATGCAAATCCTATGCCAGGAATGCAGGAAAAAACACCTCCCAGCCAGGGATTTCTTTCAATTTTTTTTGAAAATTTTCTGCAGAGTCAGAAAAAAATCTTGGACTTTTTCCTGACTTGGCCCTTGGTAAAAAAAAAGAGTAGGCTTTTTTATTTCCAGTGCCCAGGGGCAAACATTTTTGCAAAAATATCCAAACTTTGCCACACAAGGGTTAATTTTGAAATTTCACCAGCCATTGTTCATAGAAACTATAAAAGAATTTTCAAGTTAAAGGCATTTCCTTATCTTTTTGGAGTGAAATTATTTTTGCAAAAATATCCAAACTTTGCCACACAAGGGTTAATTTTGAAATTTCACCAGCCATTGTTCATAGAAACTATAAAAGAATTTTCAAGTTAAAGGCATTTCCTTATCTTTTTGGAGTGAAATCGCGAAACAAACGCCCAGTTTCCACTGTCGCACACACACCATCTGAACAGGATCTCCGCTATGTTTTTTCACCGTTGTTCCTTCCCATGGGGGCAAAGGAAAAAGGGAATGAACAGATGAAGGGAAAATGAAGGAAGCCAAGAAAATGAATGACAGGAACAAAATACTGTAAGTATACAAGACCCTACATACAAGCCATGGGGAGAACTGCTGCGCCCTGAGGGCATTGAGGAACTCTAGACGCGCATGCGTCGGGAATGCGTCATGAATGATATGGATGCCTCTTGCACATTCAGACCCAGTGCTGTATGTACAGGGGGTGTTTGTCTCGGAGCTTCTATCAGTATTTTTTTCCTTCGTCCTTATTTTGTCTTTCCTTGTTTGAGATAATGGTTCTAGACCTTTTCCTCATCCTCCTCCACCTTTCCTCCATGTTTGGCATTCCCTTGAGGCATCACTTACACTGAAGAAGAGAATGCTGTAGGCTAAACCCACAAAGATCCTGCAATGAATGGTAAGAAATAATCAAGAGACGCAATCCGCTGGGGAACACAGCAGGGGAGAATTTGGTAATTCTCCCAAAAGACAAAGAATTGGAAAATGTGTTTCAATAACACTTGAGACAAGACAACTGTTTGCTGCAAAATGATCAGAGAGACTGTGTTCAAAATGGGGTCAAAATCATGGAAGGAGGGATAATTGCGCAATGGGAAAAACCAACTTTGTGGGTTTTTCCGCTTGTATGATGAATATAAATATTATAGGTAAATTGGTATAGTTGAAAGAGTGGGATAACAGTATTTAGGATGCAGCGCGGGGAGACTATACCTTACAAATACAAGTATGCTGATGAGGGGAATAGAAATTGTTTACTGTTTATTCCAAAATCTTAGAGGACAAAGATAAACTGTTAACTTTACATGATATCTCACCAAAAATTCTCTCCAACTTGTTCAATCAACAACACCTTACCTGCTGGGAGCAGGCTGAATACCTTGTGCTTTAATTTGGTTCAATAATTTACTTATGCTTCAATTCTCATTACTGAAATTACGTTTTTGTTATCAGGGAAGGGAAGAAAGTGTATGTAATTACATCAATTGTGCAATTGTACATTTTGGGATGTATTTTTGTTTCTTTTAATATCCATATACAGCTTATTTCTCTGTTTTCCATTCTGGTGTGATGGAAGGCATGTGTTTGGATGAATGTGGATGGGAGAGGAGGGGGTTTGGATGTGAGAACACAATTGCTTGAGCCTTGTGAATGCTGAAAAGCTGAAAATAAAGCTTGCTGTTCAATTCAAAAATAGTGTTCCAGGGTTGTCCCAGGTGGTCATGTTTATGAGGTAAGATTTGGTTTCCTTAATTACCATTCAGCATACACTATAACTTGAATACTGCCTCCTCTTCAACTTGAAGGGCATTTGTTCATCATCACTGATGAGGGTTATCCTTGGGATAAAGATGTGACAAATCAAACAGTTGGGAATGAAGGAAGAAATCCCAGAGGAGGCATTCACAAAATGTCAACAACAGCAGCAAAAAGCAGCTATCTGTAATTGCAACTAAAAAAAAAAAGGCTGATACATTTTTTATCTGATTCCAGCAGACAAAGGAACTGACAGGCACAGTGCGATGAGTGCCTGAGGCGCAATTCAAGCTGCTGAACAAGGCGTCGCGGGGCGTACGTGTGAAAGGCCTATGCGGGCATTTTTTGCGGTATAATTTTTTTTTTACTGTGTTTGCATTCATTCATTCTTTCTTTCTTTCGTTTTATTTTGCTTCTACAGTATTATTTTACGCCTCTCAAGTACACGTCGCCAGTCAGGGTTGCGTCACGGCCCCTCTGGAGCGCCCCCATGCGGAGATCCGAGAAAACAGCATGGCATGTACTGCCGGTGGAAGTGTCCAAATGAATAGGCTTTGCTGGTCCAAACTGTTTTGTCATTATACAATACTGTATGTTTTTTTTTTGAAGAACGAATGTTGACTAATTGAAAGAGTCTAATAATACTCCAAATAATTCCTCTCTATATAAGAAACTCACACCCAGTTTCCAAGAGATTCTTTTTTCAATATTTTGAACTTTCAATTTTATCATTTACATTCAGATGATTCGAGATGATTTTTGCAGTTGCTTTATGTACAGCTGTCTTTTTGTGGCTACTATACTCATATTATTTTAAAACATCACTAGGTTTAATGCAATTGAATTCAACTTTCATAAAAAACTGAATTACAGCACTTGAATTCAGTACTGTAGTGTTTTAAATTTTTTACAGCTTCAATCAAACCGATTCAAATACATGGCCCGCTAAAATGTGAACAAATATCAAGGAAATGTACAATGTGACACATAACTCAATTTTCTGGATGAAAAGATTGGTGCTTAACTCAATGATTGCAAAAAGCAGAATCAAACCGATTCAAATACATGGCCCGCTAAAATGTGAACAAATATCAAGGAAATGTACAATGTGACACATAACTCAATTTTCTGGATGAAAAGATTGGTGCTTAACTCAATGATTGCAAAAAGCAGAATTTTTTAAATACCTGCCATAAAGTCTTTCAAGCAAAATTTTTTTTGAGTCTGCAACATTTGATGAAACTTGGCCAGTCCTCAGAATTTTTTTTTAATTTGCTGTTCCACAAGAAATCTTATGAAAATGTTGCTAGTCCATGGGTCCAAACGGTTGGGGAACACTGTACTAGATCATTTAGATGTACATGTTTGCTGTGCAGATGCTTGAGAAGGTAGTGCAAGGCCTTTTCAATTGAACTTAAAATAACAAAGTGAGGTCTGCAAGACATTTAAAAGAACTTTGTGTGTGGGCTTAATTTATAATATATAAACTATAGACACTGAATATGTTGTCCTTTTTATGATCCCATTACTTTTTTTTTACATATGGGCAGGTAAGCATATATAATTAAAGAGCTTACATCAGATAAGTTATTTCAACAAGGGCTCCTAGGGGAAGCAATTTCATGTAAAGGCCTGCTCTAAGTGGAAAAATATGGTGAAGATGAAAATATAAATGATGTGAAGACTCCCATAAAATATACTACAGGAGGAATCTCCAACAATTTTTTCTAAAAAAATTGTCTCTATATTATAAATTTATATTTGGTCCCATAGGATTCTATCCTCATGTTTTAGGGGTTCTCTACAACACAATTCTCCATGCAACAATGTTTTTCTAAATTTTGTTTGTCCCTTTAATTTTTTAAAAATTCATATAAAAACCTGTTAAATTTTGTTAATTTTTGAATTTTGTTAACCTTGAATTTTGTAAAAAAATTCATATAAAAACCTGTTAAATTTTGTTAATTTTTGAATTTTGTTAACCTTGAATTTTGTAAAAAAAAAAGTAACACAATTTTTGAATTTTGTTAACCTTAAATTTTGTAAAAAAATTAACAAAATTTAACAGGTTTTTCCTATGAATTTTTTACAAAATTCAAGGGACAAGCAAAATTTAAAAAAACATTGTTGCATGGACAATTGTGTTAAAAGTTTATATTGTGAATTTTGTAAAAAGTTTATATAAAAAAACCTGTTAAATTTTGTTAATTTTTGAATTTTGTTAATTTTTGAATTTTGTTAACCTTGAATTTTGTGGAAAAAAATTAACAAAATTTAACAGGTTTTTATATAAACTTTTTACAAAATTCAAGGGACAAACACCAGATAAAAAAAAATTTTGCATGGAGAAATTTGTTGTAGAGAGAGTTAACCAGCAAAACTTCAAGAAAATGTACAGTATTTCAACCAGCATTGCTTAATTAACATTTCCCTCCTGGAGTTCAGGGACACTTTCCATATACGGATTTATTTATACAGAAACTGCACCAAATATATAAATCCACAACTGTTGACGACATATATAGTACAGTACACGGGTTCCTTTCCTTCGTCTGTCATCCAGCTGCGGCGACAGCATAAAATTATATTCAAGACACGACACCAATAACGTCTCGTGCCGGATTGAAAAATTGAACCTCGGCATTCGGTTTCTAGGGAAACTTTACGCCGACATCATACAATCCATCACAAAAGACTGGTTGCGGCTAATCTAAATCAAAAGGGCTGGGGTGGGGTGGAACAAACAAGATGACAGGATAGGACAAGCGACGGTGAGACTTTGAGCGACATCTATACTCGACATTTTGCGCAGCGCTCCCCTCGAAATCACCGAATGCAGCGTTTCTGTTCTCCCTCTCTCTTTTTTCTTCCATTTCTTCGCTGAAATATTTAGTTCTCTTGTTGAGTTGTGCTACTTTTCAGGTGAGTTGGCTTTTGAGGGGGGGGGGGGAAGAGAAATACTGTTCACTTTGTTCCCCTTAGTTCTGCTAGTGGTTCTTTACCTCACTCTCAGCGTGGAGCTCTCGAATATACAAAAGTACTTGAAATGTCAAGCATTTTGAGAAAAATGACTCACAAAAACCCGGAAAAGAAATTTATTTACAAGGTGATTTTTGTGTTGCTAGTGATACTGATACCGGGTGGAAGGTCGAATGATGGTGAGAAAGGTGAATATGTATAACACATTGTATCCCTGAAATATCCGACTTATTATACATATGCATCATGACTCGAGATTTGGAAATCCATAAGATTTAGGAGCGTTGCAGACAAGTGATGGTGAAAGTTTGGAAAGTAGACAAGAGGACCTGGATGTAAACAAAATTATCAATGGGGCCTTGGTTGCCATCAACCTGGCCATGGCACTTGCTGCAGTGGCAGCTTCCATTCAGGGAAACATGACTACAACTACCACTACACCAAGGACTCACAGAGAAGTCACAGGAGGTGAATGTGGAATTTATGAAAAATGTATGCAGTGAAATGATGAAGAATTTATGCAGTGTACTACAAATAAGCTGATTTCTCCCCCCCCCCCCCCTTTCTGGCTCAATTAACCATTTTTTTTAAACAAGTATTTTTGACTAAGACCATGATACCTCATACAGCATGTCAATTTTAGAAATTATTAGGCTCCAATAAAATTCCAACTCATCATCCTAGGACATATATGCTTATTTTGTGAACTCATTCTATGCAAAAAAATTTATTTTTCCTTCACACAATTTCAATTCACACCTAAGTTAAAGGTATGCCTGATTTACATTTATACCCCTGACTTCCACTTACAAATAATTTATAGTTGCATCCAAGTTAACTTTACACCTCAGCTAACATTACATCAAGTTAACTTCCCACTGACACTTTGCCTAACCTAAGTCAACTTTACATCAAGTGAACTTCCCACAGCATACATTAAAGGTATACCTAAATTAAGTTTACATCTAACTGAATGTTACACCTAAATTGATCATGAAAATGCCTAACCATGCACATGAAATGGGAAATATTTCATTTTATTACATTTAAGCCCCGTATGATTCTAGTGATTTTACTTCCGGAGTGGGGAGCTATTTTTGCTGTGACCCTACAGTAGGTGCACACCAGGGTCACAACTGGAGCAAATGGGATATTCTGGGGGTACAAGTGTGCACTCCTGCAGAGGAAATTTTGCTACCATTCCAGGGTTACACTTGGTGCACAAATGTGTAATAACAGAAGCATCACACAAATGCACCAACTGTAACATTGGTGTAACTTATTTGTTTACAAATGTGACCCTGAGTAATCCTGGTGTGAATACACAATTGGTGCACATATAGGGGATATGCATGTGTGCAACAGAAGAACTTTGGTACACTTCAGGTGCACAGCAGGGTCACTATGTGCACTGTGTAGAATTACAAACAAATCCCCAGTGTGCACCAATTTCCCCACTTGGGTTATTCCACTTGAGGAAGCTGGCTCACCTGGTCAATTCATCATTATGTAAATTTGATTGATGATGCTTTTGCCTCTTCACAGGACATAGAAGAACGACGCCAAGGCATCGTCCAATAGTAGCTCATTTGGACACAGATGCCAGATATTTATTTGTTGAGCCAGTGACGCAACTTGGAAAATATCCATGGGTCACCCGGTTGACTTGTCACAATATGTTTGCTGGGTCAACCACTTGTTTTGGTGTATTGGTATCCAGGAATGCTGTCTTGACCTCGGCTCAGTGTGTCAAAATGCAGACTAGAAGGCAGTAAGACCCACTCAATCAATGCAACTTTTTTGATTCAATGATTTTGACTGGAAGTACTGTAGTGCAGTGTTCCCCAACATTTTTGGGCCCAAGGACTGGGAAATTTTCATACAATTTTTGGAGACCAGAAAATTCAAAAACTTCTGCAAATGGGCAAATTTTCATATAAAAGTGCTGCAGACTCAAAACAATTCGTGCATACTTTATGGCAGATATTTGGAGAGTTTCTGCTTTTTTGCAAAAATTAAGAATAAAAAAGCAGCTACAGTGGAATGTCTTCAAAATATCAGAAAGTTTGGCTTAAATAAAGGTTTCTCAGAATTAAAAATTACAATAATTTTGGCAGTTTAAAATTTGTTGAAAGCCTTATTTGGAGAGAAGCAAACTTTTATTTTTCATCAGATAATTTCAACTGCCATTGTACTGTATTTCCAAATTGCAGATGAAGATAACAGGCTTCATTGCTGCTTTTGATGAATTAAATACAGTATGCCGAAAAACATTTCCTGTAGACTGGCAAAAAAAACTTCTGTGGACCAGTGCCAGTCCTCAGACCACAGGGTGGGAAACATTGCTGTAGTGTGTATAGTGTGATACCTCAAACTGCAGATTATTTCATAGCCATTAACAAATAAAAGGCTTTTTAATTACTAACAAAGTTTCACATATTAGAAAAAGTTTGGCTGAAAACTGAAATGAAATTTTGCCCAAAGACTGAATGGCTCAAACAAAAAGCCCAAATTGGCAGAACAAAACAATTTTTCAGTGAGAGATACCATTGTAGTCCAATTAAAATGTTTATGTGATGTTCCTTTTAAATATTCACACATTAAATAAAGTTTATCAAAAATAAAATATTGCCCAAGCACTGAATGGCTGAATTGGAAAGCCCAAATTGGGGGAACTAATCAAATTTTCACTCAGAAGCCACTACTGTGATTCAATTTAAAATTTGGGCCTATTCCTGTCACATATGTGTACTGTAAAAGTTGCATTATACAGTAAAGTAATTCATCTTTCAGTGGAGGCATATTTGGGCCAATTGGATGCAGGACACTCATTGGAGGTACAACAGAACATCCAAGACATGGAAGTCAAGAGGTATCAAGACATGTGGTGCCACAGGAAATTGTTGTCCACAGCAAGTTTGATGAACTCACCTTGGCCAATGATGTGGCTTTAGTGAAACTGGGGGATCCTTTGAATCATGAACCAACTATTGTTTTGGACAATTACTCTGACCAAAACCTGAAACTTCTACCATCTGACTCTGCTGATGGAAAACTAGCCATGCTGGCATGGGGAACAGGAAACTGTGAGCATATCCAATTTTAAAGACATTGTGCACTTTTAATTTAATGCATTTTTTAAAAGTCAAGCATTGTCAGGAACTCCAGACTAGGTGTTTCAAGATTAGAAATCATCTGGTATTCAGTTCAGTACTTGTCTCCACCTATTGACAAAATACCTGATGTGTAACAAAATGTGTGCATGACAAGCTGCTATACTAAAAGAAAAGAGACATGCACAATACACATTTTATTATAAGAATTGACCAAATAGAAAATGCATGGGTTTCAGAGAAGTAGAAATTTTGGCTAGAACAATTAGGTTGACATGTTTTAAAGCCTTACTAAAAAAACTGTGGGATCATCCAGGAACTAAAACATTTTGAGAATTAATATTTTCAACTATGCAGAATTTCATGTCATGAAATTTCCATCTGTTGCATTTTTGCACCTTTTCAATATTAAACAAAAGATAATTCACTGTTCATAACTTGATAAATTCCACCTGTTTTTGTGAGTAATAAAGTGAAAATTGTTGTTTTGTCCTGGGTGGATTCATCTTTTCAATGAAAACTCCAGAGGGTTGCTGTGTTCTGTGTAACAAACATTTTTCAGGAAGAGATTCATTTCACTTTTTGTGTGTGTATATATATATGTAGACAACCTAACAAATGCATGCTTTCAATAATATTCTGTTTTCTAATGAACATTCTGCAGATGGGTCTAATTACTTGAAGACAAGCCAAACAGGTCTGATTGATGCAGATAAGTGTGTGGAAAAGCTGAAAGAGGTGTGCCCAGATTGTGCATTCAATCCTGAAATTCAAGTTTGCTACTATGGCTTGGGGACAATGAGGCAATGTTCTGTATGTAAAACCTTTTAGTTCTCACATACTGTATTTACTTGAGTACCACTAGCACCTTTTTTCCCGAATTTCAGAAGAAGAAAAGGGGTGCGCGTCATAAGCAGGTACAAATTTTTTAAGAAGTTTTAGGAAGTTATGTGTGTAAAATACTTAATTATAATGGAGAAATTTGGAACATATATAACAAGAAAACATTTTAGTTGAAAATTGATCAGATTCTTGTTCAATTCATGCCTAAAGTCAAATTTTTTGTGTTTATTTTTGAAATTGTATGGTTTTAGATTCACTAAAAATTGGGGTGCGTGTCTTACTTGGGGATAAGATTAATGCAAAATTTTCAACTGAAAAACCCATGTGCATGCCTTACTTGAGGGCACGTGGTACTCACGTAAATACGGTATATTCCATTCAAGTTGTTGTGGCATATGAGCTTTCAAAATAAGATAACAGTACAGGTGGTACCTCAAATTTTGTCCACCCTGCAAGTCAACCATCCTGCAATTTGGCTGTCAAATTTCCTGGGAGGTTTACTTGCAATTCAACCTCTGCCCCACAATTTGACCCATCCAGAGAGATGCAAAACATCAAATACAATATGTAGTAAACATTACATTTTACATTGCCTTGCATTTTGACCACTATTCACAATTTAACCCTAGTTGAAGCAACACATCAGGGTCAAATTGCAGGGTACCACTTGTGTATGGTTGGCTTATTTATTGTTATCATGATAATAATACAGTACTTTACTTCATTTCATGAGTCTAATATTCATGAAAAACTATGCTTATTTTGAATTGAATGCATCAGCAATTTGAGAAAAGACAATCTGATTTTCATGGTTAATTATTTGTTTTTTTTTCATTTTCAAAGGAAAGCACTGGAGGACCATTGATTGAAGAAAATGGCTCAGAAACTGCTCTGGTGTCCATTCATTCTTACACAGCAGTGGGAAACCATTCAGAAAACAACATCAGGTATGATGGAGGTCATCGAGACAATTGCTTGCTGGCGGGATCTTGTCATTCTAACCTATAGATCATCAGAGACAATATACAAATGTCAGCGGGTTCCTACTCCAAGTCTTCATGAAAAAGTGCAACAAAATTTTCGGAAACTGCTCAAAACCCTTGACGAATTCATTTGTTCAGCCGGTGCTGGTCATGGGAATAAGTGCGTTGATTGATTATGGCGTTCATTTGTTCGCCAGGGCTTTTGCGTGGCACCGGGCAAACTCGGAAAACGGGAGAGTTGCCAGCTGGAGATGCGATAAAGGGGCCATTTCGGTCGGTGCCAAAATTTCCGCTTACCAGGAATGGATTCAAGAGAAAATACTGAAACTCAGTTGAATTTTTTTTTCTTTTATTCGCTTGTCACACGAAAATGTTTGTGCTGCTGATTCTGATGTTCATTACAAAAGTTTCAACATGGGCGCTTTAAAGTGGAAGAAAGTACTGTACTGTATATACTACTGAATTTTAATTTCAGTAATTATACTCATCAATGATCAGTTGAGCCTCTCATCTAAGTCGAATTGTGAGGGACTTCCAAAAAATGTTTGACTTATGGGGAATTTTCAAGTTCAGAAATTTGGGTACTTTAATCAATGAAAATTATTTTTTTGGCAACACTATATCATCAGAACTATTCATGATTCATGTACAGTATGTCCTCCCTAAAAAAAAAATGTGCATTCCTCACTGGAGAGAAAAATAAAATACAGTGCTCTACAGTAATTTGCATTTTTTTACCAGCCATTAGGAAATACATCCTCAAATTAGTAACAAAAGCAGTTTAAAATGCATACAATTGGGGTTTGACTCAAACATTTTTGAGTTATAGTTAGAGAGGTTTAAATAAAAAATACATGGATTTAAGAAAATTCGAAATTTTGGCCAGAACAAGGTTGACATTTTTTAAAGCCACACAAAAAAAACTGTGGGATCATTCAGGAACTAAAAAATTTTAATATGTTCATGTCATGAAATTTCCATCTTTTGCATTTTTGAACCTTTTCAATATTGAAAAAAAAAGATAATTCACTGTTCATAACTTGATAAATTACACCTATTTTTGTGAGTAATAAAGTGAAAATTGTTGTTTTGTCCTGGATGGATTCATCTTTTCAATGAAATATAAATTATGAAGTATAAATATGAAATATAAATTGCAGAGTATTTGAGAGAATTTGCCAAGAATCCACACTGGAAATTTGCCAAGGATCCATACTGGAAATTTCAATTTGGCTCAGCTAGATCATGGAAAAGCACCATTATTAAATAGAGTGGGGGAAAGTGCTTCAAATTTAAAATGATAGGATTTATTTATAAAAAATAACACAATATAATGACAATTTGCAAATGAATGTCAATATTAACTATCTTTCACAATAAAGGTAATCTCACCAACAACATTCTTTGATGAGTGAGCATGGTAATAAATTGAGGATTTGATTGGTTCACCAAACTGAATATGAGCCCTAAATACAGTTCCAATTATATTGTGATACTTGAATTTAAAGACTCTCCTCTGTTTGGATTTTGAAAGGAGTGAAAAATTGAAATGAACCTTGTAAGTAAGATTATTCCTTCCATATATATCACTGACATAATAAAAACTCATCTAAGACAAGAATAAAGTGCTCAAGGGTCCCTTTCCAATTTCCCAGGTTTCTGTTTTTTAGATCATGCTTTACAAATAAATTTATATTTGATCCTTGATCATGCTAAAAAACTTGTTTATGTACTGTATGTATAGATCCTGCAATAAAGATAATTCATTTCTGGTTTTTTATCATGTTTCAGAAGTAGTTTATCAGAGAGAGTTACAATATAAATTGTTGTATGGTAAGGAAACATTGATCTTTTTATTGGTACTCAATATGGACAACAATAATGAGCATAACTTTCATTCAGTTCAGGTGCCAATAAATATAGAAAACCATCTTGTTCACTTTTCTTTACAGTGAAAATTTCTGAAGTGATGTGCCTTTTTCAGTCGCTTAGAAACAGTATCTGATGTTGGAAAAAGTGAAAATGATAATAAAAGTCACTGACGTTTTGAACTTACTGATAATGCTGCTGCTGAGGACACACTTCAGTACTTTAATTCTCGTCAAGTACTATATTCGCGCGAAAGTACTTTCTGCGCAATAAAGAAAAAATTTTCAGTCCTCGTTTTTCCAGCACTTATTTCAGGTCGTCGTTTCTGTACAGCAGTTGGTGGAATAACTTATTCGCGACGAAATGACTACTGTTAAATTTCAGCAGTTATTTCTCGCATTTTTCGTATTGTTATCAAGAGTTTCTGGAACAGCAGAAACGCCGACTACAACGGTTGCTTGGAATGGTGAGAAACCCGATGGGAGCGACTCCTATGCTTGGCTGGCCGCAACAACTTGCTTCTTCAGGAATAATGCTGAGAAATTCTGTTCTGGTGCTCTCTTGTCAAAATCCATTGTGCTGAACAGTGCTTTCTGCGTCAGCCAAGGACCAAGGTGAGTCTAGAATTGAAAGCTTTATTTATTGGGAATAAAACAAAAATTAGGTCCCTCAAAAATCACTAATAATGCTAATACTGTACAAAATTATTTCTTGTGCTGCATATATCACTCAAATTAATTATGCTGTTTGATGGGGTGTCAGATTTCTATGCAAGGGGGTTATATATGTTTGTTGGGATAGTCCAAAAGTGGGAATTCCTTTAAAATTATGACTATTGGGCAATAAATTCATGACTATTGGGCATGATAACTGTGATGTTGTAGACTCAAGTACATTTCTAGCTGTTCTTGCTTGTGGCAATACTAAACCATTACTATTTGCATCATCTGACATCCCATTATTACATGATGCCGTAGCTATTTTAACAAATTCATGGCACTTTAGTAAAAAATCCATCCAACTCCCAAAGGTTTCTAAGTGGTGTAACTCCTGCAGCATAAATACATTAGTTTGTGCATCACCAGAGTACCTTCTCTTCTCATGTCCAGCATTTCAAAGAGATAGACATCAGCTTACAAAAGATTTAAAATTACTGAAATTCAATGAAGAGACACTTTCGGAACTCTTAAAGGATCAAGAAAATTTTTTGGCCTTATATGATTTCTCATCAAAGATTCTCTCCAAATTGTTCATTGAACTAAAACTCATACAGAAACAGGCTGAAGACCTTGTGCTTTAAATACACTTTTACTGCTGCTTTGTCTTCAATATTGGGGATGGGTGGGTGTATGCAACATACATGTAGGATGTCCAGTTTTATTTTGTGGAGTGTGTTCTCTTTTATTTTTGTCATTTGTTTGTGCTTTGTTTCATGCTTTGAAATGATTGAATGTATTTGGGGAGTTGGGTTGGGTGGGGAGGGGGTTTGGATGCGGGAGTTCTGGTTATCCCTTGTGAACACTGAAAAGCAGCAAATAAAGTTTTGTGTTCATTCATTCATTCAATAAATTTAACAATTCTGGCCATCAGAAATAATATTTCTCTTTTTGGATTTTCCAATCAAGCGATGCATACAGTGTATTATACAGTTAATAACATACAATGTACAGTATGATGAAATATTTGTGCCTTTTTTATTTATTATACTCCTTTTCAGCATGTCTTTGAGATAGATTCTGCATGGTTTTTTTTTCTGCATCTTCAAGTCATGAACCAATGAACCATGCATTACAGTATTAGGATAATATTGTGAAAAGGCTGTGGTTAAAGTTGACTATTCCAATTGAGATTCAAACTCTTAATTGGATAAAATTCACTTTTGTTTCTGTCCATGATCTTTAACTTTTTAGCTGCTCAGTTTGATTTTGTTGTCCAGGTAATATAGGTCAGTTACTCATTCTGTGATCCAATCATCATTTAGCATCAGCAGTATAATGGCAATTTAAATTGGCAAAGATTTTTCCAAAGGCAAATCAAGGACTCTATAGTGAAATAAGATTTAAATTTCCATCCTTCTTTTAAAGCTTTGAGGTGATGCAAAAAATCGTCAAGACCTACGGTTGCGAAGTTTGGCTTGGAGTGAAGAATTTCAGTGAGCCAAGCAAAGACGTCATTATTCGGACAGTTGAGCCTGATAATATCCTGATTCATCCTGATTATGACCCAAGAAAGCTGATGAATGATTTTGCATTAATGCTGCTCTCTGCACCTGTGTCTCTGGAAGACAGCAACCTGACAACTATTCAACTATTCAACCCAGAACTGGAGGGAGAACCTTATCAATTTGAAATAGTTGGTTATGGAGTTCTGACATTTGCTGAAGCAAACAGTGAGTAATATTGATTCAGTTTGAACTTAATTTGACATGATTATGTACAGAGGTTTTAATTTTTTTTAGACATATAAAACTAAGGCAAACTACAAATTAGCCCAGAAGGCTTCAGGCCATTTTTCAAGCTGGAATACAGTTATTTTATAAACTTTGAACATTTTAATATGTACTGCATTGCATGTTTTTAAATTTTATAGACATCATAACTTGAGCTGATGCAGAATACATATTGGCCCAGAAGGCTTCAGATCATTTTTGAAGCTCTATAATACAGTATTTTTAAAACTTTAAAAACTGCAAGTAGCATTCAAGAAGCGGTACCCTGTAAGTTAATTTAATAGACATCTTGATTAAAGCTAATGCAAAATAATAAAAAATTGACCCAGAAGGCTCCAGACCAGTTTTCAAGTTGGAGTATAACAATTTTAATAGTTTAAATACTGTAGGTAGCATTTAAAAATGGTAAATACTGTATGCATTATTTAAGACCAGAATAAATCAAGTAGAATTTAAATTCTGTAAATAATGTAGTACAGAACTTCAAAAACTACAAATGTGCTGCTGTAGTACAGAACAGTTTCCTCATATTTAAATTCAGTGCAGCTGAATTATTTAGATTTGCATTTTAAATTCAACTCAACTGATTTTATGAATATGGCTGAAATATTTTACTTGTTCTATTGTATTATTTTTCCTATATTACACCATTTTACAGAAAAATCACCCCTCAGACAACAAAAAATTCTGAGAATTTGATATTAACAATGGAAAGCCCTGCTGTNTTGGCAAAGATTTTTCCAAAGGCAAATCAAGGACTCTATAGTGAAATAAGATTTAAATTTCCATCCTTCTTTTAAAGCTTTGAGGTGATGCAAAAAATCGTCAAGACCTACGGTTGCGAAGTTTGGCTTGGAGTGAAGAATTTCAGTGAGCCAAGCAAAGACGTCATTATTCGGACAGTTGAGCCTGATAATATCCTGATTCATCCTGATTATGACCCAAGAAAGCTGATGAATGATTTTGCATTAATGCTGCTCTCTGCACCTGTGTCTCTGGAAGACAGCAACCTGACAACTATTCAACTATTCAACCCAGAACTGGAGGGAGAACCTTATCAATTTGAAATAGTTGGTTATGGAGTTCTGACATTTGCTGAAGCAAACAGTGAGTAATATTGATTCAGTTTGAACTTAATTTGACATGATTATGTACAGAGGTTTTAATTTTTTTTAGACATATAAAACTAAGGCAAGCTACAAATTAGCCCAGAAGGCTTCAGGCCATTTTTCAAGCTGGAATACAGTTATTTTATAAACTTTGAACATTTTAATATGTACTGCAATGCATGTTTTTAAATTGTATAGACATCATAACTTGAGCTGATGCAAAATACATATTGGCCCAGAAGGCTTCAGACCATTTTTGAAGCTCTATAATACAGTATTTTTAAAACTTTAAAAACTGGAAGTAGCATTCAAGAAGCGGTAGGCTGTAAGTTAATTTAATAGACATCTTCATTAAAGCTAATGCAAAATAATAATAAATTGACCCAGAAGGCTCCAGACCAGTTTTCAAGTTGGAGTATAACAATTTTAATAGTTTAAATACTGTAGGTAGCATTTAAAAATGGTAAATACTGTAGGTAGCATTTAAAAATGGTAAATACTGTATGCATTATTTAAGACCTGAATAAATCAAGTAGAATTTAAATTCTGTAAATAATGTAGTACAGAACTTCAAAAACTTCAAATGTGCTGCTGTAGTACAGAACAGTTTCCTCAAATTTAAATTCAGTGCAGCTGAATTATTTAGATTTGCATTTTAAATTCAACTCAACTGATTTTATGAATGGCTGAAATATTTTACTTGTTCTATTGTATTATTTTTCCTATATTACACCATTTTACAGAAAAATCACCCCTCAGACAACAAAAAATTCTGAGAATTTGATATTAACAATGGAAAGCCCTGCTGTTGGGGGTTTTCAATGATCTCTTATGGCAAATGGCTTTTATAGATTATAACTAGTTTAAAAATTTCTTATGGCAATCATATATCATATGATAGTTTATTTCCCTGAAACTATGCTAATCAGGTAGTATTTGCACCAGAATGTAAATTGCAGAAATTAATGTATTAAAATGGGAGAAGTAAGAGATGCAATGTGCTTCTGTTCATCATATGTGATATAAGTAACATTTTAATTAAGATAATTTAAACTACTAAATTACTGCATATACTGTATACAGTATTAACGTTTTTGGACTTTTTGATGCGGAGTTGATACACATTAATTTTTTTTTTCGCAGGCGGTGTTCAGCCTTACTTGGTAACAATGATCACATCATCCGACTATCAAGGGAATTGCCTTTCGCAGTGGCGATGTGTTAATAAACAAACCATATTCAATTCTAAAGAACACTCCTGTCTCTTGTCAGTTGGCACAGGAGAACCAGTTTCTTGCCCGGTATGTTAATTACTCCGTATTTGGACTTAATTCCCAGGAAACGAATTCAAACTCACTTCAAATTTATTTCAGGGGGACCTCAAGGGAGTAATCTTGAGTGGATCAGGGCCTGGTGCCACTTTGTTTGGCTTCAATGCACCTGTGCTGGGAATGACCCAAATATTGACATGCCCTGTTTTTGCGAATCCTGCTGGTTCCAGCAGTGGTGATTCTACAGGCAATGCGAAAGCAAGAGATTTCATTCCTTTCTTGAGATATCTATTTGCTCCCATGACAGATTTTATGAATGATAATGGTTCAGGACCACTGACCCAAGCTCAGGAAAAACGCAGTGGTGATGATCATGCAGCTCTGACAGTATTCAGAGTGGTGGATAAACTATGTCAGCAGCAGATTCCTATACTGGGAACTATGGTTCATTCCCATCTGGAATGGATTAACAATAATCTAGCTGCCAATGAATATGGTTCTTAATTAAATCCATCTATAAACATGCATTCTCCTAATGATGAAATGACTATTTTTCCTCCCCCCAAAAATTCCAATGCAAAACACAGTGGTCTCTCTCTGCCAGAAATTTCAAGGGACCAGAGAAAATTCATTCTAGAGAGAATTTTGTTTCAGAGAATCCATAAAAAATGGATAGGGAATCATATGGAGCAAGAAAAAATTATTAGGAGAAAATTGTCCAGGCAAAAATCATTGTAGGAGGATTCTACCAGTAAATAATATTGCAGCTTCAAAAATCAGAATTTACACCCAACTTTAACCTTGCTGTAAATTTATTTCAATTAATCCGTGTTTGCTTTTCAGTGAGGAAATGCTAAAATGTTAAGACTCCCATAGTGAACAAAAACTGTCAAGTTCCATGTACACCGAGTACTGTACTGAACTGTACAGCAGTAGCAGAGCGGCAACTGTTCTGCCGTCCATTCCACCCAACGCACTGGCATTGAATGCCGTGAGCTACTAGTCCCCTTTATATAACGTAAAATTTAAATCTCCACGTGAGGAATTCGCTGCGCGGGGTACTTGCGAGCGTTATTTGTTGGTGAGGAAATCAGCGACATTCCGATGGTTGAAGATGTTGTTGCATCCTTACGCGTGTGAAGCAATAAAGTTGCTTGAGATTATGCTGAAAGAGTCTTGTCTTTTTTCGAGAGCTTGATGCGCTGATTTTTTTTTTGGCGAAGTGCCCGTTAATGATGCATCATGAGGATTGCATCGAAGAATTGATCTTGCGTATATTTTATGTCTACCTGTATTTCACCAGGTGTTGTCTTACCCGTTGATTACTGTGATGGAATTGTCCCTGGTGAAAAGGAAATTAGCCGCCTCATTTTTACGTACCCTTCTCCGGCCACTGGAGAACTGGAAATCTCTTCGTCGATTTAATGCTCCGCTTTCGGTGGGCAGCAAGAATTTTCACCATGCATCAGTGATATCTCCTTATGAAGTGACAAAGATACTTCAAGCGCACGAAAAGGCCTTTCATGTTGGCTCTGACGATGTTTCAGTCATACAAAGTTTCGAAATGAACCAGTTGCCATCCAATGACCCAATTGAAGACTATCATCTTCATGCAAAATGCTTGCTTACTCCGGGTACGTAAAGGAAAATTTAATTCGTATGGTTTTTCGTTGTATACGATGGTGTTTTTTGTTGTTGAAGGAATGCTGTTCGGAATCTTCGACGGGCACGGAGGTAATGCGTGTGCAAGGTTCATCGCCAAACGCCTTTACACGTACATTGCAACCGCGTTGCTTCCGTATGAAGTTCTTGAATCTAAGGCAAGGAGCCTTGTCATGAACTGCGACAGAGAGCTTTTGCATTTTTACAATGCATGTGACCGACCAACGGAGGATCTGACAAGGAACAAATTTTTCCGTGCAAATTATTACTCTTTCATCCAGGAATTGCTCAAAAGTGATCATCATGAAAAAGACCATCATGAAAAGGTCGAAGATGCTTTGACGAAAGCTTTTATGTGGGCCGACGAAGGTGCAGTATTTTTATTTATTCGTTTTCTCTCGTGAAATTAGCCAATTTTTGTTTGTGAAGGCCTGAGCAAAGAGCTCATAGATCGTGGGAGGCTGGAAGGAGGTTTGAGGTCTTCGATCCCCTTGAGTGTGGCATTGTCGGGTTGTGTGGCGTGTGTTGCGCATGTTGAAGGTCCGCACATACACGTAGCAAACTCCGGGGATTGTTCAGCGTATTTAGCAGTGGAGTATTCAAGTGGACAGGGATTAAGATGGATTCCCCGGAAACTCACCCGGGATCATACGTGCGATAATGCTTCAGAAGTCGAACGAATCTACAGCGAACATCCGGAAAGTGAGACCGACAACGTTCTTAGGAATGATCGCTTGTTGGGAGAACTGATGCCATTAAGAGCATTTGGAGATTTCAGGTATGCTAAACCGAGTCGCCCTGAGATTCTAAGAAAATTTCTTTCCCGTCCTGGCGTTTATGTAAGCATTTTTAGGAAGATTGCTTGATGAAGTAAGCTTCGTGCTTTTCTCCGGCGGATAAGTCAGAACTTACGGAGGAGTTTCGTGCTGGTAATTATTCCTGGTCTTTCGGTTCGTGGATTTAAGTTCCCGTGAATATTGATGAGTCCTTCCTGTTGTATCAAACATGGTTTACGTGAAATTTGTTTGCGTCATGTGAGTGACTTGAGCTGTGCGTGAGGATTCTTTTTAATAATTGCTTCATTTTGAGTTCCAATGAGTTCCATTCTCTAACTGAATTATTTGTGCGTAAAGCAGGATTTACGACAATAATTGTTTCATGCTCTGTGAATGATGGTGTGTTTTAAAAAAGATGAGCAGTGATTTGGCGCATATGTGTGAATGCGTTTCTGCTTTTGTCTCGAATCGATTTTGTGGATGTCCTTTCTTTAGTTTTTTTTTAATTTTTTCTGGGACTAGGTTCAAATGGAGTCATGAGACGCTAGTCGAAGTCCTGCAGCCTGGCTGTGGAGGCTTGGTGATACCTCCTGCATACATAACCCCTCCATACCTCACATGCCGGCCAGAAATATTCTATCATAGGCTTTCACCAGAAGATAGTTTTTTCGTCATGGGATCTGATGGCCTTTGGGAACTAGTGAGTCCCAGCGACGTAGTGCGATGGGTTGGCAGTCATCGGTACAGTCCTGTGGTAAGGAAGTCAGTGCGACGGTCATCGAAGGTGCTTATCTCGCTCAGCTCTGTCTTGCACATTCTATTGGGTGTCTTTGCTTTTATCTTGCAACTGTCATTTGTCCTTGTTCCATTTGCGCATGTGGAATTCGTGACTTATGTGCATGTTTTTTTTTACAGTGGACGGAAAAAGTAGTTGGATTTTAAAGCATGAATATCCTAAGATGGTTGGAGCTCACGAAGACCCAACCTCCAATATGGTTTCCGGGAAAAGTTTTCTCATATCTCCTACTTACAATTGTATTCCACTAATTCATTTTTTTGTGCGAAAAATCGGGTATAGGAAGATTTTTCAGCGTAGCATAAACCTTGACGACCAGGAACGTATTGTTTCCTCGCAATCCTCTTAGTTTCATGCATGTGAAGGATAAAGAGAACATTTAACACCTTAGATAATTTTGAAACGTGTTCTTTACTTGATGATTTCGGAGGAATAGTACTGTGAAATCGGATTCTGAATTCGAAAAATCGTGTGCCTGTTTGCTCATGAATACTTTTACTGACCCCAGTAATCAAAGTATTCCAGGAGGAGGTGTAATATTAGGAGATTGTTGGAAAGATGACCAATTGGTAACTTGAAGAGGTCGTAGCTCCAATTTTTCGAAAAAAACAGTCGAACCTTTTCGAGGTGAACTTCGAGGGACCAGCTCAAAAAAATTCTAGTTTGAGGAAAGGAGCATTTTAGTTTGTGAAATTTTAGTTTATGATATTCTGAGCATCAAATTGTTTCTAGAATGAGTTGAAAGGATGCTGAATATCAAGGCAAGGGTTCATTTGCCCGATTAACAAAAGGCGTTTAGAAAATTCAAGTTGTGGGGGTTTGAGGGGTAAAGTCTTAGAGTTGCAAAGGATTTTAATGGGATTGTTTTCGGGGGACTTCAAAGAAATTTGGCAGAAAGAGGTTCGAGTCATAGCTGTTCAACTGTATTACTTTTTTAGAATCCGTCTACTTTTTCTGTCCATTTTGTTGAAAGTGCTTTAAAATGTTCGGTGATGTGAGTGGAAATTTTGTAGGTTTCACGGCAGCCGGAATCCATGGAAATTTTGGATTCCGAAGGAAACACGATGTACTTATCAAAGCCTGGTGAAGTCGTGGATGCAAATGGCTCCACCCATCTCATACGCAGTGCTCTAGGAAAAACGGACGGTGGCATTGATCATTTGCGCTTGGCGGAGTCTCTCACATTACCTCAGGAAACTGTGCGACTCTTTCGCGACGATATTACCGTCGTCATCGTTTACTTTGACCCTGCGTATTTGGATTGCGCCGATTGGTACTGAGGTGTTCAGTTTTTTTTTGTGATGGCCTTTCGGAGGTGTTTTTGAGGCTCGAGCTTAGGTTTCCAGTTTTTGCTGGTGACATTGCCCCCCTCTGCTCTCCTTTCAGCGAGCGAGTAATTTATACCTTGTCCTGGTTTGCAGAAACCGATTACGAATAGACCGCAGGAGAATTTTTTTTTTCCTTTTTTATGGGCGAGGACGTCGTTGTTTCGAGGCATTTTTGAATCCCGCTGCTTGTTTGCCATTTGTGAAGAGACTTTCCTTAAAGTCTTCTGACGAACATTAATGTTGCATTTCTAGTTGTTTTCTGCCTTTATCTCGTTTTCTCTTGTGTGGGATGGAGTAAGAACACGGTGTTTTTTATTTAATCAATAATGAGGAGAAGGAAGAATCGAAGTATGTTTTGAATTATGACGTTTTTTCGTGCGTTGACCTTTCCGCATCTGTCCCTTTTCATCGATTTTCACACAGGAAATGCACTATTTAACTGATGAATGCAGGTCCCTTATCGTTTTTGTCTTGGATTATGCAAGTGACGCTGAAGCTTGTGGAAACTTCGTGCTCCTCGAATTTTCGTAAATTTCTTATTTTTCCCCGAGGTAATGATTTTCGAGAAGGTAGGGTTTCACGTAAGATTAAAACGTATTTTAAATTTTACTTTCCCTTGTCCGAAAATTCGTTTACTGTTGACACGCCATCTTGGATGAAATTTTTTTGTGGAAAACGAGAAGACTGGTCAGTCTAACATTGATGAAAGTCCCTCAAACACCCAGAGAATTCTCTCCTGACCGGCTTACTCATTCTCCGCTTTTTTAAATAAAAGCTTGAATGCAGTGAAAAAGCTGGTGTTTCGTCGGCGTATTTATTCTTTTCTGTGTAATTCTCTTGGGTGTGTGGCAAACAAACAGCACGATTCAACGTTTCTGACTCTTGAATGAAACTATCGCATCAGCGGAAATTGAAGAGCGACGAGTTAGACAGCCGTGTAGGTCGTTTTCGCTTGGGTTTAAGTTTTTTTATTGAAATCTTGTGAGGAATAATGAATTCGGCACATGGTGCTATTGCAACGTGTTGGAATCGTGTGTGTGTGTAAGCGCTCTTTCATGTAGATTTTTTTTTACCTGGACTATTCCTCACGATCATGAAGGTTTTTTTCTTTCTTCCTCAGGAAGGTGGTGAATTTCTGCGCGTCGTGTGAAGTTCATTTTTTCTCTCTTATGCCTTTCATGGCTTTTATACTGCGATGACTTCGGGTCGATTGCCGTTTGCTGGTAGTGAACGTTTTCACTTCTCCGTCAGGTGCATGGTCCTGTGATTTGCGACGAACTCGTGATAAATCGCGAAAAGGTCCCTGTCGAAAAAAATTTTAACGCGAACTTATTTCCGTGCCGATTCTGAATTTACTTCGAACGAAGGACTAACTCAAAATGGCCGACGACGTGCCGCACGGCAGACCCATCACAATTGTGAAACCCACCGAGGACCACCAGTTTGAGCTGGACGAAGAAGCCCTGGCCTCAGTTCTCAACGACCCTGCAATCAAGGATAAGCACGTGGTGGTATTATCCGTTGCTGGAGCATTTCGCAAAGGAAAATCCTTCTTGTTGGATTTTTTCCTGCGTTATTTGCGCAATCAAGGCAGCGAGGATTGGCTCGGGGCTCGAGATCAGCCACTCACGGGGTTCAGCTGGCGTGGAGGCATGGATCGAGACACGACGGGGATTTTGTTGTGGAGCGAGGTTTTCACGTTGAACATGGCCAGTGGAGAAGAAGTTGCCGTGTTGCTGCTGGACACCCAGGGAGCCTTTGACAGTGACTCGACTGTGAAGGATTGCGCGACTGTGTTTGCTCTGTCGACGATGCTGAGCTCTGTGCTCATTTACAACTTGTCCCAGAATATCCAGGAGGATGATTTGCAGCACTTGCAGTTGTTTACGGAATACGGGAGACTCGCGTTGGACGAGTCTGGGCGTACTCCGTTTCAAAAGCTCTGCTTTTTGATTAGGGACTGGAGTTTCCCGTATGAGTCGGCTTATGGAATTGATGGGGGAAGGCAAGTGCTGGAGAAGCGTCTGCAAGTGTCTGAGCGTCAGCATCCTGAGTTGCAACAACTGCGCAAGCACATCAGGTATTTTATGTTTTCAACTCTACTGGCAAATATTTTCGGGGGCGTGTTGATTTGAGCGCAAAAATTAATCCGTGGTGACGTTTCTAAACGCATCCGAGGTGAGGAATAATCGGATCCGAATTGATGCAGCTGTGGGATAATCCAAAAGAAAACGTATGGATTTCAGTTTGACCTCGTGTATCTGAACCAAATTTAATCACTTCCAAACTATAGAATGTTACCCGATTTTCTGTCAGTGTTACAAGATGTTTGAAGAATTGGTATTTGTGTGTATTGCATGATGTACTCCAAGAGGATGCAGGATACAGTAGTTTCTTTTTTGCGTCATTAGTGGGAAATTCAATGTCAATGTTATAACTATTGATTTTTAATTCTTTTTCAAACACCTACAACATCCATATTTTATGTACTTCACCATCAAGCATAATTATCATTCACACTTCTGAGAAATTGTTGTTCTAGTGAAATACAGTTGATTCCTCTTTATTCGATCAGTTTAGTCAGACTTTTTGGTCCCATTGAGCGTGTGGTCCTGTTGAACAGAGCTCCAAATTGGAAGATGATTTGATTTCTAATAACAGATGGTTAGCAGTAACATAAATTCCGTAAGAAACAATACCTTAAATATAAATTAGTTGGTGCTTCTTGCAGTAGCTATTGAATGGAAACGATTTGTAAGATACAGTAGAATCTTGCTACATTGAAAAATTTTGGACCCTAAAAAATCTTCGTTGAAATTTTTTTGAAGAAAACTCAAGTAACCTTGTGGCTCTTGATCCAGTATGAAAAAAAAACATCTGTTGTGACTTGTGAGCATTAATCCATTATACTGTAGCAAGATTTGTTCTAACAAGTTTCTACTGTATATCTTGACCTTTTCCAATGAATTTAATTTTTATGAGACTGTGGGCGAGCAGTGATAAAAGTTCATCATTATTTCCGCTAGTATGGCTTGCATGCACTGAGCAAGGGATTTTGTAATGGTTATATTAGGTAAAGTAATTGTTAAAAGGTGTACGATTTTTCTTGAAAAATCAATACTTGGATCTGAAATTTTAAAAATTATTCACAGGTGTCATCGACGTTACTCGATGAAAATGCAACGAAAAATTATTTCAACATGCGTTTGAAATTGAATAAGGAGACACAAACTAGAGACTAATATATAAAAACTTGTTCCCTATTCTCCTCAACCAACCCATTTCAAAATGCATAAGCTTTGACTTTTTGTCCAAGTGAGTTGAAGTTTGATCCTATTGAGGGTGGGTTTGGATTTTGTTCCTAATATTTTGATCCCATTATTCAGCTGGTCCTATTAACCGGGGGTCCTATTCAGTGGACTCCGTTCATTTTTAATTTATAAAACCATCTGTGGCAGTGCTGCCCGACATATGACCCGCGGGCCAGATCTCACCTGCTGAGACACTTGATTGGTCCTGTAGTGTCTTCCCTTCCATTTTCAAGGTGGCATCCAGTTATCTGAATGCGAGTGTATTGAAAGACGAATTTGAACATGTTTGAAATCTTGTGACAATTCTGCACTGCTATGTGTGATTCCATGCGTTTAACTGAATTGATCATTTAAAGGGGAATTTAAAGTCTTTTGGAAATTAATTTGCCCCGGATAAACTCCTTACAAACCTATGTTAAACTACATACGGTGCTGTACTGTTCAGTATATGAAACATGATCTTATGTGGCCCTCGAGGAGACTCCAATTCTGCAATGTGGCCCTTGGCCGCAAAAAATTGTGTTAATGTGGCCCTTGGCTAAATCTGAGTTGGACAGCACTGATCTATGGATTGTTAGTTTTATGTTTTAAAAAGCACAAATCTTATTAAAATTGCATCTTTGAGTTCTTATTCACTTTCGAAATTATTCTGATTGATAACCCGCTTCAATATTTTTCTTGGTGTCAGTATGATTTATTGAGGAAGGAAGAAGAAACATTTGTTCAACCGACATCTATGTTCTAGATCATGCTTTGCGGATTTATCCTGTTTCCTGCTGCCTCACCCTGGACTCAGAGTTGCCACCGACCCGAAATTCGACGGGAAACTCGCCGACATTGAGGACCTCTTCACCAAGTTCATCGGAGAACTAATCCCATCCTTTCTGGCGCCAGATAAGCTGGTGATCAAGGAAATCGGAGGACAGAAAGTTACCTGTAGAGATCTCGTGCAGTATTTCAAGAGCTACGTCGAGATATACAAGGGTGGCTCTTTGCCAGAGC